GGGGGGGGGGGGGCGCGACCGCCTTTTCCTTGCAGGAGGGAAACTTCTCCCAGCAACTTTTTTGTGTGTGTGTGCGTGGTGCGTGTGTGTGTCTCCCTTTTGGGTACCGCTGGCTGCCGCTGCCTCCTTTTCCTCCAGCCCCTGTCTATTTATGTGTGTATCTATCCCTCCTCAAGTCACTCCCTGCTGCAAACTTCCCCGGATCGTCTCCCGCGCACCAGAGAGAGACGGGCAGAGATTGGGTCGGGGACTCTCGTCGCGGCAGCATGTTTCAGCCCACACCCAAGCGGTGTTTCACCATCGAGTCGCTGGTGGCCAAAGACAGCCCCTTGCCCGCGTCTCGCTCCGAGGATCCTATCCGGCCGGCGGCGCTCAGCTATGCCAATTCCAGCCCGATGAACCCTTTTCTCAACGGCTTCCACTCCACTGGCAGGGGGGTCTACTCCAACCCGGACTTGGTCTTTGCAGAGGCCGTCTCYCACCCGCCTAACCCGGCCGTGCCGGTCCATCCCGTGCCCCCTCCTCACGCCCTGGCCGCCCACCCGCTGCCTGCTTCGCACTCCACGCACCCGCTCTTCGCCTCGCAGCAAAGGGACCCCTCCACCTTCTACCCGTGGCTAATACACCGCTACCGGTATCTGGGCCACAGATTCCAAGGTACGTGCAACTTTTCTTCTCCTTCCGATCCACCCCTGCATCCTCCGGCGGCCCCGGCCGGTCCCCGCGGTGCGGATATCGAGGGTCGGCGGCTGGGCGGGCGGCCCCTGCCCGGAGCCGAGGGCTCGGCTCGGCTGGGCCCGGGGTCTTTTGTCCCTGTCTCCCCCTCCTCCAAACTTGGAAGAGCTGTCAGAGCCGAGGGGCTTGGGCTTGGTTTTTGTTTTGCTGCTTTCCCCGGTTTGTTTTGATTTTCCGGGAAGAGGGGGGCAAGCGGGAAGGCAAGGCCGGCTGGGACTTCGTCAGCTTTCTGCCCCTATTAAAAGCAGAAGAAAAGATGGATATTTTTTGTTTCGGTGTGTTAAAAACTAGAGAGGAGCCCCCGAAGGAAGCGGCTCCGCAGAGCGGGGAATGGAGGGAGAGGTGGTGAGGCTGAGGTTCCCCCGGGAAGGCGGCGATGCCCGCCGGGCTGCCGGGGCCGAGCGGCGGGGCCKCAGGAAGCCCCCGCCGCCGCCCCGAGTCCGGCCGCTGCTCTTGTTAGAAGGGAAGAAATGAAGCGAACCCCAGAGAAAGGAGGAGGGGAGAGTGTGTGGGGCATTAATCCCAGCGCCGGAGCAGCGCGGGGAGATGGGGCTGCCGAGGATAGCCRGGGAAGGGGCACGGAGGGCGATCCCGACCGTGCGGACAGCGAGGGGCTCCAAATGCCAAGCGATTAATAAAGCTGAAGGGAAATAACCGAATCCAATGGCGGACAATCAATAAAATCCCCCTTGTTTAACCCTTTGTAACCGGCAGCGTCTTCTCCGAAGAGTGAGCCGATTTTAATGGGTCCGGCTTCTGCCACTTTCATTATAGACCAACCGACAAACAAACAAAAAAAACCCCAGCTTCACTGGCAGGGAACCATCTGCTTTTTTTTTTTCCCTTGTATTTTTATTTATTAATTCGGAACGAGAACAAATCACCTGCATATTGCATTTTCCCCGGCCTTCCACAGCCGGGCCGCTGCAGCCAGTTGGGAAAGGAGCCACTCTCACCGAAGCCAGGCGGTCTGAGACACAAAATGGATTATTACCCTTTCAGAATAAAATTACAGGTTTCGCTCACTAAATTATTTGTCGCAGGCACCAGGCGATTGGTAACGAGGGATAGATGAAAGGCGGAAATGTCCTGGTGTTGAGCCACAGCCTGATTTCAAACACACCCTCCTCCTCCAACGATTTTTAATGCACTTTCGGAGAGAGCCCCTCSGTGCCTTTTCCACCTTGGAAGGACCAACCTGGAGAAGCGGCCCAGGGGCACCCCGGAGGGAAATGCCCACCGAAAAGCCCCGGCTCACCCACCCCCCACTCCAGCCCCCGCTCCGATRCAGGCCGGCAGCAATGGGATGGGATGGAATGGGATAGGATGCGATGGGATGGCCGCTCTGTGGCCTCCCCGGAGTTTGGTTCTTTATTTCCACAYCGGATCCCGCCGCCGCCGAGGCAGCGGGGAGGGTCAGTGGGCCGGGAACGGCAGTGCTGGGAGCCCCGCTGAGCGCAGCGCACCGGCAGAACGAAGGGAAGCGGCTGGAGAAAGGCTTCGGCCGAAGTTTTGGGCGAGGGAAGCCGAGACAGGCCGGGGGAGCAGGCTGGCGGCTCCCGGAGCCCGGTGGGCGGCCAGGCAGACTCGAGGGGCTCGGCCAGGGCGCCCTGAGAGCCCCTGCCCAGCTGGGCAGGACGAAAAAATGGAAATAATAAACAAACAGGGAAAGACGTGAGGCTCCGGTGGTCGAGGGGAAGGGGGGCAGCCGTGAGATGTAGCCGCAGACACTGCAGCCGGGCTCTGGCCAGTTCTTTTTTTTTTTTTTTTTYTTTTCTTTTCTGTAGTGCTTCCCAGGTTGCTTTAGCATTTTAATTTCTCCCAGTGCCATGGTCCCCATGCTTATTTATGCTTCACCTCCACCTATTAATCAAAGGAAAATTCAATTCAAAAAAGGCCCTGAAAAATGAAAAAGAAATTGTAGTTGGATTTATCCTGAAGGTGATGGTGGGAGACAAAAATTATTGTGCTAAAAAGTCCTGTCGAATGCTTTTGGGGAAGGTGTTCTACTAATCTCTGTTTCACCCTGTTTCCCAGGGAATGAAACCAGCCCGGAGAGCTTCCTATTGCACAATGCACTGGCCAGGAAACCCAAACGGATCCGTACAGCTTTCTCCCCATCCCAATTACTGAGACTGGAACATGCCTTTGAGAAGAACCATTATGTAGTAGGAGCGGAGAGAAAGCAGCTGGCACACAGCCTCAGCCTCACGGAAACTCAGGTAAGGGGCAAGCAGGGAATGGGCAGCAGGRAAAGCGAAAGTACCGGCATCTCCTWTGGAAAACCCACCCGGCCGGGCCGAKATTCGGGCAATGATAAATTCTAGGGGTGTTTAGGCCTCCAGTCCCGAACCGGTGGAGTGGAGAGAGTGATCTCCTCTCTCATAAGTGTTGTAAAATCCTCGCCCCGTTGGTTCTTTCGCCGCTCGTGCCGGGGGTCGCGGTGCCTCGGCCGGGCGCGGGAAGCCGCAGCTCTCGGGGTGCAATTTGGGGTCCCCCTGTTGGACCCCCGGCCCGAACGAGGAGAGAGCAGCGAGAGCTGCGATCTGCTGGTCAGGACGTTTTGTTGTGAGACTGGTCTGACCCTCGAGCAGGAGTTCGACGTTAGGGAAAAGCCACCAAAACAAATGCGGGAGCAGGGGCGAGAACCCCCACTTCGGACCCTAAAGCAGGAACAGTTTCTCGGATGAATTTTTGCTCGTTTCTAGCCGGCAGAGGGGATGTGAGGAGCC